GTAGTGAGGATGAAAGTCAAGAGCCTAATCAAAGTGAAGAGCTGGGCTACATCAAGTTTGAAAATAGTACAGTAGAGGTTGTTATTATAAAAGATTATTTTTCAATGTTAAAAAAAGTTTGCACAATTATAAAATTGCTTAAAAAATCACCTATTAAAAATGCAATATGTTTCATAAGCATGTAAAATCAGAATTTGAAAATGAACTTAAATGGTTGAATGCTTTGTCAAGTTGAGCAAATTAATAAAATAGCTTTTATCCAAGTGCAGTCTCCAATAACAATATCAGATTCAGAGTTGCTAGTTCTTAAAGATTTAGTTCTTAAAGATTTCAGTCTTTAAGTTGGTAAAATTAGGAACCAAAGCACTTTGCTGTCGAGACTCGACATCAAGAGTTTGCTTACAGTAGAAAAAGGTTTTTTTTATGTTTTAAGTCAACTAGAATTATATGAATCTGAAATAAGCAAAAACTTTTATTAGGCATTAAAAAGAAAAGCTTTAAGCATAAGAAATCCTGATTTAATTTACCTATATTAAGGAATGGAATATTTAAACAATCCTAGTTTTTAGTTATGTTGTACTTTATATGCTTTTTTCTGTCTTTGAGTCAACAAAAAAACTTATTTCTAATTTGAAGACTTTATTTCAATGTTTATAAACTATCCAACCAACATCTGTTCAGAGTGAAAGATCTTTTAGTGTATGCAGATTGTTTGTAACCAAACTTAGGAGTAGCTTAAATGATAGCATTATTGATACCTTATGCTTTTTAAAAAATTACTACAAAAATAATAAAGTGATAAAAATTAAAACTAAAATAGGTTTGTTGATATGAAATGCTACAAAGAATTTATTTCACAAAATTAAATTTGGTTACATATATTTTAATTTTACTGTAAAATAGTTTTTTTATTTGTTTTTAAGTTAAAATTGGATGCGGATGTGGATCCAGATCCAAATCTTAAAAGCTATGATCTGAATCCTAATTATTTTTCTAGTTCTGTTCAAATTGCAATGTTGTTTGTAAATGGATAGTGTTATTTTAATGTAGATTATATATGATAGAGAAATCAAACAGGCCAATTAAAATAAATTTTTTCCTGTTTCCAAAAAAAAAATACGTTTTTTTGTATAGCATTTCTTCTATTGATTTTAAATCTTTAGTGTCTGGAACTATGAAAAAATGTATTTTCATAGTGATTTTAGAAAAAATTTATAATTTTAGAAAAAATTTATTTACAAAAACAATTGTAAAAAAATACTTAAGACTCTTTAAACACTTCTTCAATGTTTTTCAGCCATAATATAAAAAGTATTCATTTTTATTACAAATGAATATTATTTTTAACAAAATGTTTTTCAGCCATAATATAAAAGTTATTCATTTTTATTATAAACAAATATTATTTTTAACAAAATATTTTCCAGCCATAATATAAAAAGTATTTTTATTACAAACAAATATTTTTTGAAATTTCTAAGAAATTACACTTCTCAGGTTTTCACAGGAAGGCATGAGTTTGTACATATTTATATGACCACGCAAAAAATATTTGTTTTAGCGATTTGACCACGGCTTTTGACATAAATTAAAAATTTTAAAATGCGCTTTAAAAACTTACCTAAACTTATCTGAAAAAAAAATTGTAAAAAGAAAAAAAAATCTTAACAAAAGAGAAAAGAAAAAAAATACTTATTTAAAGCAAAAACACAAAAAAATAAATTTGCGCATTAAAAAACCATTTCAATCTTTGTTTTAACATTTGTATTTTTTTTTTTTTTTTTTTTAATTTAATATGTTTCAAAAGATAAACATTTCTCATAAAAAATACATAATTATATAAATAGATAAAAACAACAGTTTATTAATACTTATTTTAAGAATTAATTAGAAGTGTTTTGTTACTTCATTGAAAAGCGTTTTTATAATATAAAAGTTTTTAAGAACAAACTTTTTGAAATTTTGTTTATCTTTTTAAATGTATTAATTATTAATTCAAATTTAATTATTCTTATATTAAAATTTGTTAAAGAGACTTACGTAGTTGTAGAATGTCATCATTTATAAAAACAAAACAATTTTTTATTTTCTAATAATGTCTATTATAGAAATGCACACTTAAACAATTTATATAATATAAATTTAAAAAATATATATACAACTGTTAATTATATTTAAAAAAAAAAAAAAAAAAAAAAAAACATCAGCAAATTGTTACTTTATTTAAAAGTGTTTTGTTAATATAAAAACATTTTTTAAGAAGTTTTGATGTAATTAGTTTCACTTTTTCAGAATATTTTTTCATTTAGCGCATTTTTAAAATGTTTTTTGAATTAGCCGCGGTAAAATCATCATAGCAAAATTTAATTTGTCTGGTCATATAAAGACGTGCGATCGCACACCTTCCTGTGAAAGCCTAGGTTGCAATTTAATTAGTGATTTCCGAAGTAACTGCTTTCCTGCAATCAATAGCTAACCTTCATCCACTTTACAAAACATTGTTTCTCAACTGTCACCAAACTGTTTCTTCATTTATGCCACATGTCTAAACCACAATAATCTCACCTATTATGACCATGACACTAATTTTACTACTACATCTAGTTTGAAGAATCCTCAGACTTGAATTTTTTTTTGACAACATTAGGAATTTTACTCCAAATGCTAAATATTAGAATCCAAATATTATTAAAACTTGATTTGATGGTGAAAAATGGTTTACATATTTGAAATCAAAATGAAAAATGCTATAAAAAAACATATTGTTTTCTTGAAGCAGAAAAAAATAATTTTTAGTTGACCTGTGTTATACACATATATTATTGTTTTTTGGGCATTTATTGACTTTTTTATTTATAATCAGATAACTGTGGGCCAGAATTAAGAATAATTGGACAAAAAAATTATTTGCATGTGTTTACTGCCTGTTTTGGTTTTAATGTGGTTTGTTAGTTTTATTACAAATGTGATTGCTAGATGACCTTAAACTTTGCTAGATAAACTCGAATTTTACTAGATGAACTTGAATTTTGACAAATGAACTTGAATTTTGTTAGATAAGCTTGCTTTTCTGTAAAAAAAAAAAAAAAAAAAAAAAATATTAATTTAGCTCAAATTTTGTGATTTTATTCAAGAAAATGTAAACACTTTCTTGTATAAAATTTGCAAAATATTTTAAAGTCTTTATTATGTGTTTTTGGGCCTCTTCACTTATCATTCCATTCAGCAACACCATCTGATCAATTACCTGCCATTTAAGTTTCAAGGTTCTGAGCAAACTTTGAGGCATGTTGTGCCAAGAATAATAATCTTTTAATTTTTAGGCATCAATTATAAAACCAGATGACAAAATTCATGGCATGTGTGTTTCTTTAATCAAATGCTCATCAACAAATGTTCTACATTTCTGAGGTATCGTAGAGCAGTATTGTCTTTGTTTGATGACTCAGAACCACCAGACCTAGGAAGTTTAATAATCATTATCATTTCTGAACCTAAATTGAATTTAATTCTTTTTGGCTTTGACTTTGTCTTTGACTACAGCAGATCTAGGTGACATTTTATACACTTCAGCTTCATAAATAACATTTTTGCAAACACTCTAGGCTCTAAATTCATTTTTTTACTATTGCATGGCACCATCAAAGAACTGGACAAATTATGAGATTACATGAATAGCCTAAACAACTCAATAAAGTTCTCACTTAACGTCTCCAAACAAAGTGTAGAGTTTATGGACATTAAACTATTCAAGGACAGAGTGACAAACTGTAAAAACTACACTGAAAACTGACTGACATCATGGCCCTAATCAACTTCTTCTAAAAGACACCAAAAACTAGGCAAAGCATACAGTCAGGCTTTCCAATATGATAAAGTCATATTAAATAAGAAGAAGACAAACTTATGAACCTGGCAAAAAGTTTCATCACAAAAGGATACCTGCTCGGCAAATCAAAAGAAGCCACAAAAGAAAACAGCAACAGCAAGATCTTACACATTTTACCCATCTTTCTACCCTATGACTCTACAGGAGGACAAATACAAGACATTGTTATAAAACACTGGAATATTATTGAAAATGACTCCTACCTACACCGCATTCTATCATACAAACTTTTGAGAGTATCCACAAACCATAAATCAATTAAGGACTTTTAAGGACACAGACAAGCCCCACAACACACTGGTGGCAGAAGAACAATGATGGAAGTCTAATGGAAAGCATTTTACTCAAAGCTACATGTAATTTAATTTTTTTTTAAGTATAATACTCATGTTATACTTAAAAGGATGTGGTTCTCATCTTGTTCCCTCTGCCTGTTCTTTCCTAATACCTGGCCTTCCTAATTCTGAGTTTGGTCTCTTACATACGTCTTTAGACTACATCCCATTATTCTCCTGCTAAATTAAGCAACCATAGCCGTATAAAGCTCAACTCTTTCTATTCCGCAGCGTGATAATCCACCCTACAACTACACATAAATCCACACATAAACCCACCACAACCATCCAGATACCAAAGTTACCGAAAACACTACACAAGCATAACATGCTAAGCAAGATACTCATTTTACTATAAGACAGACAAAACAGCAACATATTCCAATTGGCAAGATTCACAGTTCTAACACAAAGACATATTGTGGCACAGCACATATAATGCTTGGCTGCATCCAAATAGTATCATCGTTAACAAGCCGTACTTCAATTCTTTTTTATTTTCCAATAAAATTTTGGCACTAATTTAAAAGATTTACATTTCTCTTTTTAGTTGTATTTATAATGTAAAAGTTTGATTTTTTTTAACTCCCAATGATTGTTGACCAAATGGCAATGGCTAGAATTGATTTTAAGAGATCAAAATTTTTCCAAAATTAGCCAATCATTGATTATTCTTTTCACTCTATTATTCTAAAAAAAAATTTTAAATATTCTTAGTCAGTTATTCATTGCAAAACTTTTTGTTAAGTAATAAATGATTTGTTGCTTTTTTTAAGGAAATCGGTTATACACACATGAGAATAGCAGAAGGTGTCAACTCACTTTTACAAATGTCTGGTATGCTATCAAGACTTTGTCAAAAATCCATGAAGAAATAATAAAATAATTGTGATATAAAATTTTTATATTGTTGCAGCAAAAAAAATGAAAAATTTTAATAAACAATTGTGTTATAGATTTCTAAATATTTATTTAAAAGTTGTTGTTTTGATTATTGAGTTTTTACATTTTTTTTTTTTTTTTTATAAATTATTATAGGTTTTACTATTTTTTTGTTATTTTTTATAGATTTAGTATATTATTATTTGTTTATTTTGGTTAATTTAAGATGCTTTGTATTACTAGTTACATAACTTATTACATACACACATATTTACATAATTTTGATATTGCTACTGTAAAATCATTATCGCCAATGGTGGCGTTAGATTCTGAAGTAAATAGTAATAATAATATTATTATTATAATACATACATAAACTTACATTTTTTTAAAGTTCAATGATAATTTTATAAATTCTGTTTGCTATATTGTTTGTTATTAGGTTTATATTATATTTTATTAGTTAATTTTTTTTAGTTTGTGCTGTTATTATTATTTTTATTGTTAATAATAATAGTCACATTGATGTTATTACTATTAATAATAATAATATTAATAATTGTAATAATGTATATATATAATGTATAATAATGTAATAATTGGTATTGTCATAGTTATCTTTTTTGATTGTTTGTTATTGATTATCAGATTTAAATAAAATGGCATCTCTTGAAGATTTAAAAAATGTATTGAAAGATACATTGAATCATCGTGGTGTTCTTAATCAAATTCGAGCCCGTATTCGAGCAGAAGTGTTTAGTGCATTAGATGATAAAACAGTACCACCTCCAGTTCTATCCAATGAAAATCTACTTATAAATGAGCTTATTAGAGAATATTTAGAATTTAATAAATACAGATATACAGAAGCTGTGCTGCTCTCTGAATCCGGACAGCCCAAAGAGCCTATTGATAGAGAGTTTCTTGCTAATGAGCTTCATATAAGGGAAGATAGTACTTCCTCAAAGTTACCAATTTTATATGGACTTATTTCATCGTTTCTCCAGCAAAAGCAGTATAAAAATGAATTGCCAGTTCAAGATATACCACAACCAAACTATTTGAAATCGTCTTTGAAAAAAAAGTCAAATGAATTTTCAGAATGTTCTGAAGAAAATAGCTTAATCCATGGAAAAGGACTGATTTTCCACTCCAAGAAATGAAAATAGTTAAATCCATGGAAAAAGATTGATTTTCCACTCTAAGAAATGGAAATAAAGAAACTAAAATGTTTTTTTTGTTTTGTTTTGTTTGTTTGGTCTTTCTTTTTATTTTAACTTTAAATTGTCATTTCTTTGTGTAAAATATGCTTTTTGTTTAAAATATGCTTATGTTGTTAGTGAGTTTTTTCAAAAGTATACTAATGTTGTTCGTGTTTAAAATCTGTTTGTGTTGTTAGTGGTTTCTTGTTTAAAATATGCTTATGTTATTAGTGTTTTCTATTGTTTTAATATAGTATATGTATAATACATTATTGTATATATGATTATTTTCAATTTATAATTGATTATTTATAACTTAGTTAAAAGTTAAAAATTTATTAGACAATTTTTAATTTAAACAAATTACAATTTTTATTTTATTTTATTTTCATATGTATATTAAAAAGTTGTATTAATATATATATATATATATATATATATATATATATATATATATATATATATATATATATATATATATATATATATATATATATATATATATATATATATATATATATATATATATATATATATGTATATATATATAATGAATAAAAACAACTTTTGATGGAACTCTGAGTTTCATGCCTTTTGGGAATCATCAGCCATTGTTTATAATTCATCACTTAAAACCCTTCCACATATATATATGCTTTTAAAGTTAATATAATTGTATTCACCATAATAAGTTATTATAAATAGCATTTATTAGTAATAAATTTCTGGAAACTTGACTGGCTACAGAACTTATCATTATTTTAATAATATTGAGCATCTTTAATTAAACGAGAACCAATTTACCAATTGCATTAATAATTTTAAACGTATAACTCAATAATCAGTTTAATCCACACATAATCAACTGTTTATATGTGGATTTTTTATATTATAGATAATTTATTCAATAATAGTTGATTAGTTGGTGTTAATGGAAAATCTTGCGTTTCCACAATTTTATTATGAGTGCTACAGAAGAAACTGTTGTCTCGAAAGTTTTTGATGATTTGTCATCTGTTAAATTGATATCCAATCCAAGATGTGAGCAATTATGGTTGATTTTTTGTTATTTTATAGTTGTTTAAAGTTATCACTATGGTTTATTTTTTACTTTCAATTATTTTTGGAAATATTTTTTTAATATAATAAAAAAAAATAATAAATATTAAATATTATTAAATAAATATAAGCATTAAAGATAAAAAATCTTCAAATTTTTATTAAAAAATAAATATAAAGTTGTAATAAACAGTTTGTGAATATTGCATTTTATTAGCAGTAGAGATGTGTGACCCAGTTTAAGCAGGTAATAAAACATGGGTATCCTGGTACCCATTTTTTATTAGCAGAAGGGGTTGTGACCCAGTTTAAGCAGGTTACCCATTTTTTATTAACAGAAGAGGTCTGCGACACAGTTTAAGCAGGGTACCCATTTTCTATTAGCAGAAAAGGTCTGCAACCCAATTCAAGCAGTTTTAACCCAATTTAACCATTTTTTATTAGCAGTAGAGATGTGCGACCTAGTTTAAGCAGGGTACCCATTTTTGTGTTGAAAAGTCACCAGTTCTATTTTAGTTTTTGAAATACTTCTGAGATTCTTCTTGCATTTTTTTTGTGTGAATAATTTGTTAACATTTTGTATTGCCATTCTTGACATTAATTTTTGTTGCAAGTCAAGACTGAGTATTTTTATCATGGTTCTACTTCTAGAAAGAATACCATCCAAGGTTTATGAGCTCCTTCTAGAATTCAGAAGAAAATTAAATAAAAAGGAATGCAATTGACTTAACATATCATTAACTTTTAAAAATGTTATTTTTGTATCATCCAGTAGCAGTCAAGAAAAAATCACAAAAGATAAAATGTCTCCAGATAAAGGAAATCAACCTCCAAAGTGTTTTAGAGTCATACAGTAAATTGTTTAATCTTCTCTTGCTGCTGTCCTTCATCAAACACTGCTATCAAAAGCTAAAATTGTTTTGACTAAATCTGCTAGAATAAGTTTAATGCAAATTTGTACTGTGAATTTGAGAAATTCAAACACTGTTAGATGCCCTAGAAGATTAGGGAGTTTCTGAGGTTTAAGCAAATGTTGTTGTGTTTTAACACAACAACTTAAGATGTTGTAGCAGGACATGTGTTATGCTGGAACAAAAACTGGGCAGTGATTTTTTGTATCTAGATAATTTTCATCATATCACAGAGCTTTTTTAATCTACAACTTTTAAATTCACGATGGATCTTAGTTCTAAAATTTTTACTTTTTAATTTTATTGGTAATTTATGAGTCAGAAATTGCAGAAGAAAATGTCAGTGCATTTATTTGACATTTCATTCATTATCATACACTAAACTTTAAAAAAGTTAGAGAAGATTCAGTCTCATGATAATTACAGCTTGCAAACATTTCTTAGAGGGATTTCACTTTATGGTGTTGTTTCAGATAAACTGGAGCTATGCATTTTGCACATTAGACAAGTAAACTATCCTAAAATATTGATATTTTGTAAACAATTGGAATTGGAGACAAAAAAAATGAAGAGAAACCTGTTGAAAGTTCTAAGTAAAAGGCTTCTCTTAAAGAAGCAGTTATATTATTTTATAAATCTAAAGACAATGGCATTTTTTAACAGGCTTTGATTAACAAGTTTCTGGCCAAAAAGATTTCAAAACTGAAACTAAGTTTCTGGCAAAAGATTTTATAAGAGATTGTGAGTAGTTTAAAAGTTGTGACAGTTGGAATGTAGTGTCTTGTGTAAGTTGTGGCATCACAGAATTCAGAGACCTCTGTAAGTAAGTATCATTTATGAAGGATGAAAAACAACTGCATTTTCAGATTCTAGTAATTTTTAAATGTTAAAAATACAAATTTTTGCAAAAAAAACTCTTAATCAAAATATAATCAAAATAGATAAGTAGAAGAATTATTAATATTTGTTATAAAAGTAGACCCTAAGGTAATATTATTTAGAAAGCTGTATAATAACAAAGCTGTTCATGAAATGCAGAAATACTAAAAGCATTATAAACTGACAAATAACACAATTGACAGTAACAAGTTTTAAAATATATATCACCAGCATTTTTTTTTTTCTTCTTATAACCTGCGGTTGTTCATCATTATTTTAGATTTTATTAAATAGCTTTCAGATTTAGCTCAAAGGGGGCTAAAAATAATTTTAAGTATTTAATTTTTTTAATCCGTTTTCAATTTTTAAAGTGATGCATTTTATATTAACATTTTTTTCTCAATAATAAATTATTGAGAAAAAAATAATAAGTTTCACACTGGTTTAAGTCAAATAAACTTTTGCTAAATATCGAAAAAACAAAATGGATGTTCTTTCATCCAGCTTCAAAAAAGCATATGCTAACGTGTTAAATGCAGGGATGTACCCTCATAGTCATCTGATGGCACTGGATAACTCATTTTCTCCAAGGGCGACTGAAATTTTTTAAAAAGTATCTGTTAGTAGCGTGGCAGGATGACCAGACAGTTTGTTACTTACAAAATTGTGTTTAATAATAAAATTATTAAACTATTAAGATTTTATTCCAATTTTTAAAAACAAATCGTTAAGAAGCATTTAAAGTATTATACACTTTGTTTAATAATAAGTACACTACAGTGCGCTATATAATTTTACTTAAGTTACTTTAAAGAAGCTGACACATGATTTAATATTTCAAAGTGCAACTGTTTTTTTAATGTTGTTGCATATTGAAGTACGTTTCTTCTCAATTTTAAATTAGTTTTAAAATAATATTTTCTTCCAAATGCTAATATATCATTTTATAACGTGAATGGGCAGTTGAATCAATAATAACTTTGAATCTCTTGTTTTTCATTATTATAATAAATTTTTATTTTCACTTTGTCAAACAAAATTAACAAATAAAAAAACATTAGATGGCATGTAAAAAATCATTTTTAAAATGCACTTAATGCTGCACATGGAAATTCTTTTTTTCTAAAAAAAAAAGTAGTCTCAGTATAATGAAAAATGTCACAAATAGTGATTTTGCAGAATGCCGAATATTTGGCTAGGCGCTCACTCAAAGCACCAAATATTTTGCTGCTGAATATTCGGAATATTTACATAACTATAGTTTTTACTATAGTTGTAAATTATGACATTAATTTGATTTAACCATAGTTATGTATAAAATTCATACTCTTCAATCCATTTATGAAGATTATAAAAATAACCAGCTAAGGTATTTCTTATATTTCTGAGATAATTTCAGAAGTTGCTATTGATAGATTTAGCACAAAGAACTCTAAACTTATGGGAAATTATATCTTTACTACAACCTGATCTTTGGGTTTAACTTTTGGTTTACCTTTAATGGGAATTCAGTTATATGGTAGCCTTTTTTATTGATTTAAGTTTTTAAAAGTTTCTTGGGCTCAGTTAAAACACATTGAGCAAAACACCAAAAAAGTTTAAAAGCTCTTAGAAAGATTTATTTAGTGAAGAGTTTATCTTTCTCAGTGAACAGCTGCTTGACACCAATCAACTGTCACTGGTGCCGAGTAGCGCCTGTGATGATTTATCTCCACTTGATATAAAGTAATGTAAATAAAAATAATTAAATCTAGAAAAAATATGCAAACATATGAGAATGTGGAAAAGAAAAAAACAATTGCAAATTAAATTAGTTTTTACATGAAACTGTTTGCTTAAATTGGACATCAAACCCTTACAAGTTGCTGTCAGCAAGTGCAAACTATCATAACAGAACTTGATAAAGTTTTATTATTTGTGTGTGTGTGGTGGTGGCAGTGTACATAGTAAATGGCTATTTTCAAAAGTATATATATTCTGAGGAATCTGCAATCATTTTCTATCATTAAATGATGAACATTTTTTATAATAACTTACCACCTTAGATTTTAACCTAAGGTAATAAGTTTTTAAAAAAATAAAAACTTTACAATCTGGTATTCTGCTAAATATTTATATCTTTATATTCGGGCAAATACCAAATAGTAAAAAAAGTAACTGAATAGGCCAAATACCATAGTCAACAAATATTTGTCATATCTTTAAAAAAAGATTTACAACAAAAACATGTTTTAAACATATTTGATTAAAGATTGAGAAAGAATAATAAAATATTTTCTTTTTATAAAACGTCTCTTTGGGCTTATGGCTTTCTACTTTTTTTCTCCACGTAATGAAACCTTTGTTCAGATTGACAAAAAGTAACAACATGAAACAGATTTCGATTGCAACAAAAATTACAATCTTTAAAAGTATCACTTAACTAATATCTCTTTGTAACTAAAGTTACTTAACAGTATTTTTTAACAGCTTATAACATTTTACTTTTTTTTTTTAATTAATTTACTTTTAATTAAACCGTTTCTTGTTAGACAAATTTTAGAAGGCAGAAGTTAAAATTTTCAGTTTTTTCACCTGAGAAAAAATACCTCAAAAAAATTATTATTCCGGACTACAAATTTTTTAGGTGTTTTAGATGAAAATCTTTTATGTAAATATCACATTGGTAACTTATGCAATAAAATTTTTAAAAGTATTGGAATTTTTTATAAATCAAAAAGTATTTTAATGAGATATACTTTAATTCATAAATCGAAAAGTATTTTAATGAGATATACTAAATTACTCTTTGATTTCCTGTCATATCAGTTATGGCAATGTTGCCTGGGGTAGTACCCACAAAAGTAAATTAAAGCCTCTGTATTGTCAGCAGAAGTATATAGCATGACTTATTAATTTAAAAGATCGTTTTACTCATGCCTAGCCTCTCTAATTTAACATGAAAATCTTAATATTTAATACTTTCAACAGACTTTGTTTTATGTTTAAGTGCAAATTTAACTTATGTCCAGTTACTTTTGATGATTTATATTCATGTAAAGAAAAAAAAATATGCATTGCAAAATGATTTTGTATGACAACCAAAATTTAAATCAAATATGGGCAAATCTTGCATTCTATTTTGTGGAGTATTTTTATGGAATTAAAATGTTTTGAAAAATTTTGATTTTACTCGTAAATTGAGTTATTATTTCTTTAAAAGAAAACTAAAAAAAAACATTTTTTCGATTGATAACATTTTTCTCTCTTTTTGAATATTTGCTTTTATTCGCTTCTTAAAATATTTAAACATTTTATTTTTCTATTTTATTTTATATATATTTAACATTCTACTCAATGACAAGACCTAGTTGTCTAGTGTCTTGCGGTATTCTACAAGTTTCCACATTCTTTATATTAGAAAAATGTAACAATCTTACTATTTATATTATATATATATATATATATATATATATATATATATATATATATATATATATATATATATATATATATATATATATATATATATATATATATATATATATATATATATATATATATATATATATATATATATATATATATATATAGATTTATATTTAAATGTAATACAAATTTAAACTGAAAATAAAATATAAAAATAAAAAAAAATAAAAACAATTAAATTGATGCTCTAGGAAGATAGTTTGCTCAATCTCTGTTCAAGCATCAACAAAAAATTTTTTGTTGATGCTTGAATGTTATTAATTAAATTAATTGATAACATTCTTAACAAATGAATTAAATTTTGAGCTTATTTTTTATTAACAAAACATCAGTCTACTTTTTTGTATACTATCTAAATGGTTTTATTATTAATAAAATATTTACTTCTACAATTTTAATAAATTAAAGCTCTAATATTTATTTGTTACTATTAAAGTTTTTTTAATTATATTGTTCTTATATAGCTATACGTCGCGTACTCAACCAGATTCCAGATGATATACTCAACAATGAACAATTAAATGCTGCTATAAGCAAGGTATAACCTATATACTGCAGTTTTTTTGTTGTTCCTGTGTCTTTATTTTTTGTTGTTGTTGCTGTTGTTGTTGTTGTTGTTCTTGTGTCTTTATTTTTGGTTTTTTAGTTACCTTCTAACTACAACTTTGAAATCCATAAAACAATATGGCGTCTCAGACAAGCTCAGTCTAAAAGAGGTTAGTAATTTTTTTAAAGGATAATTTTATTTAGTAAATTGCCTCATTTTTGGAGCAAAATATAAACTTTTTCTCTAAGATGGTATCCTCTCTTGTTGAGCTTGGCACTAATCTCATCTTTTTGAGAAAAAATTTTCAGTGATTAAGATTAGATGCTAAAAAGTTTAAGTCTAATTCTATTATCCAATTCTTTATCAGTTGTTACACTCTCATCCTATACACTTGCCATGAGCAGCAGATCTATGTTCAGCGATGAAATGTTCATGTTCAAAAAATGTTCATTTTCAAAAGAGTTGTTATTGTACCTATCATTATATGATTACCTGATTCATGGTTTTTTTTTAGCCCTTGATTTTTGTTTAGACTTTATATTGCCAATCAACTTGTTCAGATTAGTCTTGAAAATAAATTGTTCTGAATCTGACTTAAACTCTAAAGAAGAGAAACTGGTATTGGAAAAACCTGATTATTAGGCTGATTGCTGGGCCCAAAATGACATCAAGGAGCCCTTTTATTTCAAGGACATTGAGTTGTACTTTTGGATCAGAGTCTTTACTTGGACCTCCAAATGTTGCTTTTCTTTGATTTTATTCCGTATTACAAGGATGGCAATAGTATGCTTATATATCTTTTACATCCAAAAAAGTTAATTTTTTTAACTAATACTAACATTTACAAACTTGATCTAGATCATCTTGTTTTTTAATCACTAACACCAAAAACAAGTCAAGAATAGACAGATGCAACTTACCTTGGCTTGTTTTTTAGAAAAATGTTGTGCAAATTTTTGCAGCATAAGGTGAATAGAGTAAATGTCAAAGGTAAGATTAGTTCAAGACGAAGACACTACAAATCAGTCGAAGACGAAGACACTACCAATCAGTCGAAGACGAAGACACTATGAATCAGTCGAAGACGAAGACACTACGAATCAGTCGAAGATGAAGACACTACGAATCAGTCGAAGACGAAGACTATCTACGAATAAGCTCAAGATTAATTCATTCAAAATATTTTTTATAAAATATAGAACAGTTAAAGATATTTATAAACTGTTTAAACATATTCAATATATTAAATTAACTAAATTTTATTCTTATTTTCAGTTGCACTTCAATTTCCGGAAGGATTACTTTTATATGCATGCGTAATTGCTGATATTATAGAAGAGTATGTAACTTGTTTAATTTCTATTATTTTTTTGTTTCAATGTAAACATCAGTGGTTTTGTGAGTCTCATTAAAATGCCTCAACATCTCAAATATATCAATAGTTAACATAAGTTTTGAAGGAAAAAGTTTTTAAAAAAAATTTTAAATGATTTTTATTTTTTTTCCAAGATTTACAGGTGCTGATATAATTATAATGGGTGATGTAACATATGGTGCATGCTGTGTAGATGATTATTCAGCCAGAGCATTAGAGTGTGATTTTATGATACATTATGGACATAGTTGCTTAGGTAGATTTTTTTTTGTATCTTCATGATAATATAAAAATGTTTTAAAGTATCTTACACTTTTTATTTTCAATTTAGTTCCGATTACCTCGACAGAAGGCATCAAAATGCTCTATGTTTTTGTTGACATCAAAATAGATATTTTACACTTTATTGAAACAGTGCGCTATAACTTTTCAAAAACATGTCGACTTGCGTTAGTCAGTACTGTACAGTTTGTCTCATCTTTACAAGTAAAAATATCATTCTTTTGTTTTTACTTTTTTTTTTTTTATTGTTTTATTAAATATAAAATAAATACAGAAATCCTTGATTTCATTTAGTTAAAATCGTTTTTTTTTTTTTTTTTTTTTTTACATTCAAATATTTTACATTAGATTCAAAATCTTTATAAATATTTTCATTTGTTGGTCTTTTTGAGGTTGCCATCAGATTAACAAAAGTTATATGATACAAAGATCTGACCTTAAAACATAGAAACGAGGTCGGCATATATATATATATATATATATATATATATATATATATATATATATATATATAATATATATATATATATATATATATAAATTTTAAGCCCATCAATTAGTCCCAGAATAAATTGTTTTCCCATCTAAGTTTTCAAGAATTTTGACAATTTAATAAATTATGCCATAATTTTAAATTAATTTTTTGTATCGGTTTTATGAAAACGATAAAATCAATAAAACTGATACTAGTTAAGTTATTCACACACAAATTTTGTCTCGATTACTACATTTTTCTTCTAAACTGGTATATTTTTTTGTTATTCACACACAAATTTTGTCTCGATTACTACATTTTTCTTCTAAACTGGTATATTTTTTTGTTTTTTAGGTGGCAGAAGCAGAGTTAGTTGGATATAATGTTATTATCCCTCAATCTAAACCTCTCTCACCAGGCGAAATTTTAGGTTGCACTTCACCAAAAGTTCCTAATGTGGATTCTGTTATGTAATAACTTTTTTATTGACAAATGTTTGACATTTCATCTAATGCATTTTTTAATGGCATGTGACATTTTTAAAAACACGTTCAGACATTTTTAAAAACATGTGTTCAAACTTTTTTAATGATAAGTGTTCAGAAATTTTTAATCACATGTGTTTAATCATTTTTAATGGCATGTGTTCAAATATTTTTAATGGCATGTATTCAAACGTTTTTAATGACATGTTTCAAACATTTTTAATGACATGTGTTTAAAAATTTTTAATGTGTTTGAACTTTTAATTGAATTGATAGGAAATTAAAAATTTCATTGATTGACTAACTTTTTTTTACAATTGTATAAATTTTTTATTTTACTTATTTTTATTTTAATATCATCTTATCATTTTTATTTAATTATCATCTTTGCATTGACTTCGCAAATGGTGGGCGCTTTTTTCTAACGGATGATAATAACTTTTTTAAAAGAGGAAAAAAGAAAAATGTAAACATTTATAAATTAAACGAAAAATAAAATCAACTAAAAAAGAAGAATGAATAAATGTTTTAAAAGAAAAAAAGAAAAAGAAATATTTGAAAGGAAATAAATAAAAAAGTAATGAAAACAGAAGTTAAAAAAAAACAACAACTAATGAATGAAATAAAAATGAATGGAAAAGAAAGAAAATAATAACTATTTCTATACATCGAAAAAAGATAAGCAAATCAAGATTTTTTTATTTTTTCATATATTTCTTTAGGTTTATTTCATATATTTCTTAGGATTCTTTATTTACGATTTATTTTTTAGTTTTGCTGTTATGCGGTCTTGTAGTAATGTTTTTTCTTTAGTTTTTAGCGTATTAAGTTTTACTTTATATATTTTGTTAGTCATTTATTGTTTTATTTTTTAGTTATTAATTATTTTTAAATAGTGATATATAATTTTTTATACAGTTATATATTATTTGTTTTTATTTTCATTTTAGCTATTTATCATATATGTTTTATTCTACCATGTGATATTATATATTTTTCTTCTTTATTTGTTGTTATTTTTAGTTTTTATTTTATGTTGTTGTTTTTTTATTGTTTTTTTTTTGTTGTCAAAAATATTTAACGTAATTTTTTTGTTTTGTTCTTAAAGTTTGTTGTATCTTTTGTTTTGTTTTGATTTTTTAAGTGTTTTTCTGTTTACATTTTATTTAATTAGTTTCTGTTTACATTTTTATTTATTTATTACTTGCAATATATTTTAGTTATGATCAGTGCCGGATCATGGGGGGGGGGGAGCAAATTTAGGGGCCCCCAAAAATTTAGAGGACTTTTTTTTTTCTTTTTAGTCATTTTTAGGATCTGGCCAATAAAAAGGCCTCCAAAAACAAAAATAACCCCGGGCCCCAAGAAATCTTAATCCGCCACTGGTTATGATATTATAAAAGCTATAATATATTTACTAAATCTTTATAATTTTTTTTAGCGATAATTGTTAATATCCGTTAATTTTTTAAGCAGTTGTTTTTATGTCATCGTTAGTTGTTACGTTTAGTCAGTTTATTACTGTTTGTAACTGTAACTTTGTATGTATAAGCGATTGTTGTATAGAAAGTTATACCGATTTATTTAAATTGCTATATTATTTATATTAATTACTATATTATTAATATTACTATTTTTAAAGTAACATGTTATTATATTATTATTTATTAATATTGTTATTATTATTATTATTATTATTATTTATCATTATTTTATTATAAATATTTTTATTATTATTATTACAATAACTATTTTAATCATTGTTATTAGGTGTTTACTTAATATTAGTAGTTTATACTATTTGTAAGCAACCTTGAAATGTAATACCAAATATTTCAGAAAATATATTGATTGATATTGATTGATTGATTTAATTGTATAACTTTTTCATCTTACATAGAAAGAAAAAAAAAATTTATTATTTTCCTTTTTTAGTTACCTTGGTGATGGAAGATTTCATTTGGAATCATTTATGATTCACAACCCAGAATTACCAGCTTATATGTATTTTTATTACTTTATTGGATTTTGAAGGAAATTTTCATTAAAATGTTTTCAAAAACCTGTTTGCTTTTTTCATTGTTTATTATGTTTTAAGTAACATTGATTTTTTTTTTTTTTCAAAGAATTTTAATTAGTTTTAAGGGTTGCCGTTGATTTTTCTTTAAATATTTGTTAATAATGCGCTTAAATATTCTAAAAAAATTTTTGCCTAAATAGCTTTTTAACTTTTTCATTATTTTTATAAAGGTATGATCCTTATTCAAAGCGTTTTACAAGAGAATATTATGACCACATAACCATGCTAAAAAATCGTAAAAGTGCCATTGATCAAGCTACTAATGCCAGATGCTTCGGAATTATTCTTGGTAGTTTAGGTAGACAAGGAAACCCAAAGATCTTAAAGGTATATAAATTGTAAGTTAAAGTAACTTTTTTTTTGCCAAAATCATTCAAAATCTAATAAATTTTGAATTGAAGATAATTGTTGTGTTGTTATTTCTATTTTTATTTTTTAATAAATTTTATGTATAAAGTATATACACTTTAATATAATATACTAACCTATTTAAATTTAAAATATTGGTATATATATAAATACCTAAAAAATATTTTTTGTTTTGCTCTTTGTAACCCTTGGAATTTGGGTCAGCATTCGGCAATGCTGCCAACATTAAAGTGTTTGAGGTCAGAAAAAAATTGCCTACCTCGTTTTTATGTTTTATGATCAGACCTTTGTATCAAATAATTTTTGCCGACCTGATACCGACCTTAAAAAGATTGAGGTTGGCAAATTATTGTCAACCTCATTTTTCCTAATTTCGAGGGTTGCTCTTTGTGTTTTTACTATACCCAAGAAATTAGTTTTGAAGTGCGGGTCAAGAAAAGTTGCAACCAGGTATTTTTCATTTTCATTAAAGTTGAACCATGCTTCATATTCAAATTCAAGCAAAGATCTAATTGTTGATAAATTTGGTGTTCTCTGTACTGTCTTTTTCTTTCCCAGGTATTTTAACAACATGACAATGTGTGCAGTTCCCTTAGAAATGCAAGAAATACTCAAGCTGTTTATTTTTTTAATTACTTCGAAAGGTTTGAAATGCATTAACTCCCATTCATCAGGTTGCTGTTTAAAAAAGAATCTTGATCAGTTATGTACAACGAGACAGCTCGCTTTTGCTCTAATAATTGCTCCAATAAAAGTATGTTGAATTTAAGCATGTTCTTATGTCTTGTATTAATTGGCAGTTTAAGTTTTTGGCGAATGCATTTAGTTTTTCTTGTTCTAGAGTGGTTAAAGTGGTTAAAATTATTCATTTTGCAGCAGCTACCATCTGTGCCATTTCTATTTGAGAATTTAGCTTTACATTGATAGCTAGTTGTAGTAAATGTATAAATCACTTGGCAGAATCATATTCTGCATCTCATACACCTTTTATCATGTTGGCTCCACTATTATGAACAAGAATATGGATCTTGCTATGTGAAATGTTCCATCTTTCTGCAATAGTATTTAGTTATTTTGCGATATTTTGTGATTTTGTAATAATTATGTGAACAAAAAAAAAGCTTCATTGTTAAAACAGCATGTTCAAGAATAAAATCTTGAGATAGCCAATGCGCAGTAAAACTTAAGAAACTTTGCTGAAATGTCAACATGTCAGATGTCACGATACTGGTATTATTAGTGAAATACTAGCTTCAATTTTAGTGCAAATTCTGTTAAAAATATTGGGGGTAATTTTTTTAGTCATGTAGGTGCCACAAGGTATTTAGTATTGCGGTACTGCCTTTTCCATAAGCTTGTTGAAGCCAACTTCTTCAACAAGTGGTAATGGTTCATTGTCTTAAAAAATTATTTCTCTAATTAAGTAATGATATTTTATTGATTTTGAATCATTAATATCCCAACACAATTTCCTTTAAGTTGTCTCTTTCATAGTTGACTTTTTTTTTTAACATACACATTACTGCTAGTATGTTAGAGTCGGTATAAATGAAAAAACCGTCATTTTTGCTCCCTCTTTCCCGCAGAGCTTTAGTCAACTTTGCGTACTGCTTAGATTGCTTGTTTTGAAGTTGTTTTTTTAGAGAGGTTGTTAGAAGGAAAATAGTTGCTGGAAACAAAAAAGAGTACTTAAACTTTTAGTATTTTTTTATATATTTATATATTATTTATGTATTTTAGAGTAGTTAAAGTACCTTCAGGCTTGGTTGGGAAGCGGGAGCGATTGCTCTCGATTGCTGACCAAGCAATCGAGAGCAATCAAAAAATCGAAGCAAAAAAAAAAAAGCGACAAAGATTAATTGGACCGATGAGAGACAGTTACAAAAAAAAAAAAAAAAAAAGGCAAATAAAATATCTTTAAACGCAAAAAAACTTAAAGCTAAATAAATTACGTTTAGAACAAATATTTTCGAAACATCGCTCTTTTACAATTTTTTTTATAAAATTAAGTAACAACTTACGATTGTTTAAAAGGGAAACAAATATTCTTTATTTAACTAAGTTTGCAAGTTTTAGTTTTACTTAAGCTTAATTTATTTTATAAATAAAAAAGTTAATTTTTTTAATACCTATTTTATGTTTCGCGTAGTTTGAAAAGTTTAACATATTTAAAGCGATTCTTCTTAGTAAGATAAACAAATGAAATAATTAAATCATTTAATTACTATAGGAATTAAATTATCATGATAGAAATCAACTAAAAAGGTTAAAAATACTTAATGATCAGGAAGCGAAACTGCTTCACAATATCGCTGATGATGTTTAGTGAGTGGGCTTTTAAATTTTAATTAGTATTTAAAGCAGCAAAAAGTATAACGAGTTTTAAGAATGGCAATTTAAGCGAAAATAATTAGAGTTAGTAAACCTATATCTAGAAACTTTTCTTTAAATCTAATTATTTGCTATATATATTTGTGTTCTGTTGTGACCTCACGCGCGATGCTTGTTCATTCGCGACTTACTTTGTATGCGTTGTTTGTGTTTAGTAACCAGAAACTTCTTATATGTTTGTTACATAATTAGTTTTATTAACTTTAACGATTATAACTTCATTGAAAACCCAATTATTTTTGTAAGTCTTTGTTTAAATCATAAAAATTGCTTTAAAAGATATATTACGATAAAAAACAATTACATAAAATTACATTTACAAAAAGAATACAATCTCTTTTAAAATAAAAAAAAAGAATATACTAGTAAAATCTATGATTTATGATAAACTTTTAAAATTTTGATAACTTAATTAATATATATTTAAAACATTTATTTTTGTAAACAAATAATAAATATTTTTAAAACAATTTATGCTAGAAATCTCAAAACGTAACAAATCGTGAATAATACAAATTCTAAAACATTTCAACAGAATACTCTAGAACTTTATTTCGCTTAATCAGCGTATTTTTTGAACCAATAGAATTAGTTTGTTCGTTAATTTGGACGGTTTTTAGTGTTCGCAAATATTCTTTTTATTCTTGCGCTCAAAGATGTTGTGAAAACATTCAAGTTTTTTATGTTTCCATGTATGTCCGTAAAACAAAATTTTTTTATTTCGTACATAAACTTAAATGTTCTCAAAACGACTGAAAAACCTGGCCAGTTTTACGTAACTAAATATAATTTCCGTGGTCAGTATTCGAGAGCGATTGCTCCCGCTTCCCGACCAAGCCTGTACCTTCTGTGCAAAAGAACTTTGAATAAAAAAACTACCAGAGTAATTAATTTGTTTTGTTAAAAGATATTCAATTAGTTATAATATACGTAATAGTTTTACTTGCTTTTCTCCCTTCACCACCATGCCAGATCTTGCTTTTACACAGCAAACAAAATGCTAGTTTATTGTCTTCCCAACAAATTTAATAATTATTCCAAATGGGTGATTTTTTATTAAAAAATGCCATTTTTAAAGCTTTTTGCAACAAAAATTTGAAATAACACAACTTTTGTTACTTATTGTAGTTTTTTGTAAGCAAAAAAACAATTGAGTAGAAAATCTTGTAGTTCACTAAATTGACTTTTTGATTTAAAAAGTATTTAAAGGAGAATTAATTTTTAATGTATTCATACAGTTTTAAATGACAATATTTGAGGTCTGTAATTTAAAATTATCAAATTTTTAAATAAATGAATATATTCATTTGTCAACAAATAACATGCCCAAACGTGATTACGGTATTCACTTTACTAATGCAGGTTGGAAACCGTCTCCCATGAAATTTTCTAAGTATTACCGAATATTCGGTGACCAAATATTCGGCTATTTGGCAGAGAGTCAAGCCAAATATTCTGCAAAATCACTATTATGTCATCTTTACTAGATACATATAAGTTTTTTATTTATTTTTTTTTTATATATGTTGTTACATATGAAAGTATATAAAGTAGTTATAAATATATAATGTTATGAATAATATAATAATATAAATAATATAATATGAATAATATAATACACAGTATTAAATTATTTATTTTGTCTGGTCTAATTATTTATGTATTTATATTAGATTTTGTAAAAGCATCTGTTTTGGCTTATAAAAGCTTATATAACTTTTGTGTTCTTGATATTTGATTTTAACAATATTTTAATTGGTGTTATATAATTTTTATAACATTGTTATGAAAAACTCTTGATTAAACTTTTGTGTATAGCTGTATGTATGTGTGTGTGTGTGTGTATATATATATAATATATATATATATATATATATATATATATATATATATATATATACTTAAGTTTAGAAAAAAACTACGATAGAATGATAGAATGAGTTCTGGCATAAATGAGTTCTGATAGAATTCTGGCATTATAGTACAAGAAGTTGTAATAGAAAACTAATCACCTCTATCAAATAATAAAAGGAGAAATTTATTTTTGCGTCTACATTTAGAAACTAATTCGCCTCTTTTGATTAGCTCTTTTGTCTCCTTTGTAAAATAGTATTTCAAGTTTTTCATTTAAACAAAATTTTTGTTGCGAGATTGTATGTTTCACAGTGTTTAATAATATTCCATTTAATTGAAGATGTAAAGTTGTTTTCTTTTAATTCCCATAATTCCTTAGACAGCTCAGTGTCATTCTTGTACTTTTTTATGTTAAAGGATTTTAGATAATTTGCATAAAGTAGCTTAAAAAAGGTTTTGCTTTTCCCGATGTATACTTTTTTTGTTATGAGGTTTATTTGAGCTTTCAATCGCTTGGAAAACAATGTTGTTAGACAAGCAATGGTTGTTCAGTGGGCAAAAAGATTTTTTAATGCAACTGCAAGTTTTTCCTGATAATTTTACATCACCATATAAAATATTTTTGTTGTGTGAATTTTTTTATTTTTATTTTACTTCACCTCCTCAAGGCCGAAAAGGCCACTACAAACGAGGAGGCTACTTATTTTGTGGCT